GAACTTGATTTCGAAAACAGTTGAATAAAAACGGAATACGAAAAATAGCGGTTTACGTTGCATTATGTTTCTGGTCAGCTTGAATAAGTCACTTGATATAACTATTCGAGTATGCCTGTCCATTTGATTCAGAGTAAGAATTTGCTACGTTGGTCCATACTTTGTCTACTTTTTTTGATGATTTAAAAATTTTTGTTGGATAAAACTTTTTCTTATTAAAATTCTTTCACCAGGAAAATCAAATACAAGGAGCCAAAGGTTCAGGTCCGATGAACAACAAGGGAAGATGGCACACGAATATCAAGTGCTGTCAAACAAACCCACTATAGTACGTCACGGCTCACCACCTTGCGATTATTCACAAAATGATTTTTCAAAATGTGGCATTATATAGGAAACGTAGTCCGAATCGAATCGGGCGAACTTTTAATATCAAATTTCGCCAAAATGTTTGAAAAGTTTGCGGAAATTGTAGAAAGAAGCAATAAAGCAAGCCAAAGAGACGGACAAACCAACTTTCTGAATCGTTCGTTGGGTCTATCTCAAGTATTTCTGGATGTTGTAAGTATCCGCACAAACTTAATATACCCGTACACCACAAGTTGTGTAGGGTATAAATATCATTTACAATATGCACGAATTACAACCTTTTCGCAATGATGTATGACCGATAATCAAGCTAATGTATTGCAAAAAAATGTTGCATGTAACCTAGAGGTAAATTTTTAACAAAAATCGACCCAAGTCTATGTATATTTTAGTAAATAATAATAATAATAATAATAATGTAGCGATGATTATGCAAAATAAACTAAGATATAAGTTTACGTCTCGAGTTTAAAAATGAACTAAATTTGATGTAATTACGCAAATTTCAAAAACATGTGGAAATTGCTTTCGTTAACGCTATTGTTAAACTTTTCTTTATAATATCTGGCGTAAGAGTACTTTCATAACAACCGGCAAATACATTAAGCATGAAGTTATGCATTCGTTATTATTATCGTAACTGTTAAACACTAACAGAATATTAAAAAAAAAAATTTTTTTTCTTTTTTATTTATTTACTTTTTTTTTTTAAGCAAACGACAAGTAATCGATCATGTATAGATTTAGTGGGTAATGTCAATGGAAAATGTTTATATACATATATATGCATACAGTATTTTTTAAATAAATGCTTTAAGCCACACAAAGAGCTTCAATAAGTCATAATTATCTCTTCGTGTGCTTCGCAAACCTTAATGACAACAATTATAGATCAGAGTATTAACTCTCCCGCACGGATTTCAATTTCTAACCCTCTCTAGATGAATATTTTCCCACCATCGTATGAGCAAGTGTTACAATTCCAGTTATGTATAACACATGATATATATACATACATACAAATCACATATAATGGATTTGTACTTGTTTATGATTATAATAAAAAATTATTTTGATATTCTTGTCGTCCTTGGGGTGTGTGTTTACCATAAACGCATACAAAATATCTTAGCTATGAGTTTCGTTCAAAACGAACAATTGCAACACAGATTTAAACTAAGCAAGTAAGTGAATAAGAAAAACGAAAAAAAAAAAAAAAATAAATAAATAAATAAATATATAAACCCAAATAATGGAAACGAAATGAAGTGAAATGAAAGTAAAACTGCATATAAATGATTTGCTTATGGTATAAAACACTAAAGCCTGAATCGCACGCTTAAAGCTTGAGGAGTTTGGAAATGAATAAACTATTAGTAAGCAACAAAGAAAGAAAAATTGAACTATAACAACAAGATACTGGAAATTATAGGCAGCGAGGAGAAAACAAGCAATATTGCGTAATTGATTTGAACGAATTCTGTGTAAAAAAATCAAATCTATTTTTTATAATAAATTTTAGGAAATAGTGATAAATAGTAGATTACAGCATAACTGATGTCCTAATATGTTTACTTGAAGACCCAAAGAGGTATAGAATTGAGGCAATCTCGCTGTTAATTGATCAAATATTTCAAATTGTTCTGGACACTGTAAGCACTTCCGCGTTGAAAATAAACACTGTTAACTATGCAGACTATGGACTGATTCATCAAAGATTGAAAGATTTTCATACTCTCTTCTAGCGACTTATCCAAAAGTTATTATTGTAGCCTTTCGTCTGCGTTAGCCTGACCGGAGCGATGAGATCCTGACCCTTGAATGTCCTAGAAGCGCTGCTGGGCACAACACCTCTGCCTATAGCTGCAGAAAAAGAGGCTTTTGAGCCCAGGGTGGAGATAAAGAAATGGTACACAGTTTAGAACTGAAAAATGAGAAACCGGGCGCAACCCGGATTTCTAAAAGACAATGCTAACGTGATACAATCGCATCATATTTCCAATCTCCGTATGCGCTTCCGAAGGCAATGCACGACAGAGCTGTTCTGCGTTTATTCCGACAGTCAAGCCGCGATAAATGCCTTAAAAGAGCAAACGATCTAAGCTTGTGTTGGAGTGCTTTCGAACGAGCTAGGCAAGTACAATGATGTGCACCTAATATGGATGCATAGCCATTCGGCTATTAAGGGCACCGGAAGGGGGGCTGACTGTACAGATAACTGGGCGGCCCTGGAGTCCCTGATAGGTCCTGAACCTTGTTGTGGCTGTATCCAGAAGCCACATTAACAGGCTGGTATAGTGTTAACACGAAGGTTCAAATAGCTCTAATAAACATTTGTGTTTAATTTTAGGTTACTAGAGTTTGTAAATTGTTAATAAGAGTAATTATATTAAAAAAGAGTAATTATATTAAAATCATTTTGAATAACGAAATCAAAAATTTCTGTGTTATATAATCGCAGCCAAAGAAATGAATTTTAATTCCAAACTAATTGCTGAAGGTAAGATTGAAGCTTTCCAGGAAAAAAAAAATTAGTTTATGTCTATATTCAGTTCCAAAGATCATACTTAGGAATTTTTGTAATCCGTTAGATGAACTAAAATAATCTAAAAAAATGAAAAATTCGCTACATTTTTTTTAAGATCCTATATATGCGTAGCGGTGAGAAGAGGTGACAGCTTAAAACCCCTTGAAAGTTGGTGTAAAGATCTCTTAAAATCACCTTAAGCTGAATGGTTTGATTCAAACCCTGCTTTCTTTCGAGATTATGGCGCGACGGTTGTTCTAGTCTCTTTTCATGCATTGCTGATTCGCTTCACTTGTCATTTTCGAGATACTCGCTTCGAGTTTTCTTTTCAGGCAAAAGATAGTATAACGAACGGAGGCGGAAGGCTTAGCGATGATTCAAATTAAATAATTATCCGATCAGGGCGGATCGTATCTGTAAAGATTGATAGGACGCATTTTATCAAAAAATCTAAATTTTAATTCGTGCTCACTCAAGAAGGAATGTGACCGCACGACCACCTTTGACGAAAGATGATTCTCAGCGATGAAATAATCGTTTGGTTTGAGTATAACCTTAATAAACAAACTTGGTCTTAAACTTCATGCAATGATCAGTTGTCGTCGATGTTACTAAACAAGATTAAGATTAAGGGATTAACAGCGAATTATATTAGGTCATGGCGATCGGCTATTGGATTGTATTGCATTCTAAGTTACCGTTAAACAAGACAAGTTCCTGCGCCACCAAGAACTGTCTTGAATATTTGGTTTTGATTAGAGATCGGCGGAAAAAGTCGGGCTATTGAAAACAATGTTCAGTGATGAACGCCCTTTATGAAAAACTTTTTGTATTCGTTTAAGATGTTGGATATCAAAGATTTGTCTTCTTGAGGCGTTTAGCATTTTCGTAAATGCCTTAACTTTTCTATTAGTATTTTTTTTTATGTTTTGTCTTTATCTGTTTCTTTTTTTTTTTTTTTTTTGCTTATCTTAAGCTATTGTTGATGTTTGATGTTTGAAGCTTTCAATATTCGAAGCATAACAATCAACTGATAGAGTGAGCTATACAGAGTTTGTTGAACTGGCTGTTATGTTAGGAATTTGTCTTCAGAGTGGGTGTTAGACTTCAACTCCGAAGAGTGTAATTTCATCTATACCTACTCAAACAAGCACTTATAACGTATTTTTTTTTTTTTTTTTTTTTTTTGTGCAAATACTACAAATAGCTTTTGTACGATTTCTACAAAGTTTAATAAGCAGAAATTGTTTTATTGTGATGGCACATGACAAAGATTGATCTCTTGTATTGCGCTACAAGTAAATTTGTAAAAGATTTGAAGATAATTTTTTTTCTGAACAAACGCCAAAATTACCTAATGTTTCAAACGTGAAACAAAAAAAAAAAGATGTATTTTTTATTACCTTAATAAAGCTCCACCTTTTGGAAAAACAAAAGTAAAAATAAAAATACAAATAACATAAAAACGAAAACAAAGCAAAAAAAAGGTGTCTTTGAATAGTAATTTGAAACTTTAATCTCTGGTTTAATGTGCAATACTCGTACATTTCATTTTTAATTCATTTGGAGCGTAAATCCATGTCAAGTATTATTATAAATGCATCGACATAATTATCAATGACGGCCTTGATGCCAAGATTATTGCTTTCCTTAAAAAAAATACATATACATATATAAATAAATAAAACCCGGCAATCATTAATTATGTGATTTGATTTTATTTCAAATCTTTGCTTTAGATCAAACACAACACAAAAAATAAGTTTAATTGATTTCTTAATTCTACAAATCACAATCAATGAGATAAATATGCCTCGGGGTATTATTATGAGTTAACGAGCAGGAAAAAATGAGAACACGGAATAGTTTTTGAAAGAAGCATTCGCTTCAGTAACAGTAACCGTTACAATATATGATTGGTTTCTAAAACATGAGACATAAGCCAGTTAAGCCACATTCCTAAGCTATTAGAGCATTATCCAATCGTACGCCCTAATATATATATATATATATATATATATATAAAACTCGCAAATGTTCTCCATTTGGTACATTCGTTCGTAAACAACAACACAATGATATAATAGTAAATTTAAAAACTTACCATAAAACATTGAAATTTCATTTTTTTTTTGTTGTTGTTACTATTATTTTCAAATAATATATGTTGTAATTATTTATTACTTAATTAATTTATAATTTTTATTACACTTTCATTTAGTTCGGTTCAATGTAAATTTATTAAGTTAATTGTTACTTTTTCTCTTTCTAAGCAAAAAAAAAAATAAACCACTGAGCACTCACTAAACTTTTCTGAAAATTCTCTTTACTTGTGATTAGCACTAATTTCTATAATTAAACGATTTCAAGCGATTCCTTATTTATTTTTCTTTACGTTGACCGTTAGCAAGTCAATGCCACCAATGAAATGTTTTATTTTCTACACAGCTTTGCAGTTTTATACCAACATAACCATAATAAATTGAAACGAAAACAAAATCAAAAGTTTTACACTAACACAATTTGAAGCTTTTCAAGTTTCCAAATGAATAGCATATAAAGTATCTGCATACGAAGAACTTTACTAAATGCTTTTGCAAATGTGTTAGTGACTTCGGTTTCTCGTTAATATCCGGCGGAAATAAATTTTTATAAAGAAAATCTTTTAGTTTTCAAATAAATTTTTTATAAGGCGGCGAATCATTCGATCTTGACTCGCTGAGTATACAATAAAAAATACATTTTTGTATAAAATTAAAATAAATTAAGACAAGAAAATTAACCGGAGTCAACAAACTAGTTTTTAATAACCACCTGTTCTCTTTATTCGATGTTTAATTGCAAGATATAAGCGCGAAGATTACGCTCACTCAACAGGCATCTTGTGTTTTAGCCAAACACAGCATGTATCGAGTAAATTTAAGACATTGAATAACTTGGCAGCACCTTATATACCCAGAGTTGCTTATATCTAATACTTTAGGTATTGTGGGAAAGTATTTCCCTTAATTTCTCTTTTGAACTTAAACTGAAAGAAGCAAAGAGAGCTTTGCAATCAAACTTATTCTTCTAGTCAAGGATTAGACGTCTTAGTCGCGATTTTAACGGGTTAACTATTAGCTAAATATTCGTTTATCCACCCTCAGCTTTCTACCGAGCAACCATTTAACAAGCCAAACATACTCCACATTCTTTTGGTACAGTTGCAAACTCTTTTCAATTCTCATCCCGTCTTAGGGTGGAGTCATTCAAAGGGTCTTCTTTTTAACTATCTGTTAGACTAATTGAAAAAAAAGTGTTTAACGAATAAAGAATTTTGCAAAAAAATGCTGATCTCTAGAAAACTATTTACCAAATTTAAAAATTTTATATTTTATAATTTCTTTATTTTATATATATAAATATAAGAGCTCTTGACTATCATTAGAAATAGACGTCCGTAGTTTACCTAGAAGTGGTTAAGGTTCTAAGAGTAGCACAGCCATGCATTATCGCTATGCAAGTGCAAGGCATTGTGTCTAGGAGGTAGACCGTTGAAAGACCTAAATTGGAAAATGGTATCTCACACATCGACAAGCGACATCTTTAGCAATCCGTATCACCAATATCAACAGTAAACCGAAATTCGCCTAACAGAGATGGAGATTTTTATAAGCGAGAAACTTGCAAACTGAAGATTGATGCGGCTACGAGAAACGTAATTAATTCTCTTCAAACAAAGACTGAGAAAGTATATACTTGATTTTGACTCTGTCCTATGAACTATAGAGCAGGCATCTTTTATATATACATTTCAGTATATTTCTGTATGTAACCGGTAGTTTAGTTCCCCAAAGGCGAAAACAATATTGAACACATTTTGCGAATAATTGTTGCAGAACTCATTCGCGCCTCCGTTCGCCGTTGTGGAAATATTCGATCTGTTATGCTCACAAATTTTCCCAGATATTTTCTCTATTCTCGAATTTACGATTTAAGATATCTGGACTACGATCATGCTCGCTCATGTGCTCATATCGTGTGCCAATGTACGATATCCTACAGTTGTTGCAGGATGAAGTCATTGTGGCACGTTGTCAAGGGAACTCGCGCCGCGTTTGCGGTGCGTTCTCAAAAATTATTAGAAGCAAAAAATTTTACATACCGTTAGAATTTGACATTTTTAATAAAATTTTTTCAAAGTAATTGGGACAACATTCGGATAAGAAATAATGTTTTTTCGTTTATGTGCTAAAAATGTCGTACAAAAATTTTGAAAAATAAATACTAGAGCGCTTAGAAAAGACAACAACTGGATATTACAGTACTCGCGAATAACAAAATTACTTAGCATTGTGCGTACGTACGTAAACATTCTCAAAATTAAAAGAAGTAAAAAAATTATATTCGATGGTGAACGAATCGTTATCCTATAAAAGATCGAAGTATAAATTTCCATATTCTACAACATTGAGTAGGCGTGGCTGATGTTTAATAACCCTGTTGAATAATTATATGTAGAAAATATCTGTAGACACGGCGAACAAACGAGCTCTCAGTTTTGGTCATATTGATATGTGGGCGTTGTATGCGTATTGTTTGTGCCATTTTCAAAACTCTTTTGCAAATTTCTAGATGATATCATCTTCTTTGCGAACGGGAGAATATGTGTCACAGATACTAAACAGTTTGGAGGACGGATATATGGACAGATGGACATACAAACATGTCGTATGTCAAATTCCGAATTTGAAACAAAAATTAAATTTTGATACACTATAATATTGAGCAGGCGTGGTCAGTTTTCCCATTTTTGTATAGGTGCTATAGCCTCTCTTATAAAATATGGATTAAAATTTTTATACATTTACCCGCTGTATTTGATGAGTATTGAACAAAAGAAAATGTCTTATTCCTTTTGAAAAACAGAAGTGTTGTCAGTTTATGTGTCCTTCGATCGATTTGGAATACTTTCCATACCAATTTGCGTGCAAGAACTTTCAAAGTTTTTGCAAATTTTAAGGCGATAGCTTCGTTTTTGCGGTCAGAAGGTTGTTTACAACAGATATTACGCAGACGGAGAGACGGACATGGGTATACGGATTCAGAATTTAATGTTAATCAAAAACATATATGCTTTCTTCCGAGCGCTGCAAAAGTTTTAACAATTCTCATCACGCGGTGATGGACGTAAAAAGGGGACATCACACAACATCGGCGCCGTTGGCGAAAAAAATTACGGGAGATTAAGAAGTTAAATCCTCAAACCGGATTCATTTTTCGCGAAGTTTTTCGGTTTATTTTCATATCATTTTTATACAACAATAGAAAATGTGCCATACGCGACAACTACCATTAGTAGCCTCCAGACGCCGATATCAAAAGTTTAATATTGAGCCCTAGAGCCTTTTTTACAATAATCTCAATGTGCTTCTCGTGTCAAATAACGTAACATGAGCAAAGGAAACATATTCCGTCTGATGTATTTATACATATTTCTCAATATTACTTGGTGTTATGTCACACTCAATTAATATGACCGAGCTAATCTATGGTTTATAACGAGGCGCTTTTCTAATTTGGTACAATGTTTTGACAGTTCTTTTTCTTCATGCATTTATTTATTTATTTATTCCTCTACAACTACAGACTCAGCCGTGTTAAACAACTCTCCTGAAACTAAAGTGTTTAAATTACATTATTATCATCAAGGCATAGTAAAGTTAAAAGTTTTCAGTTTCAAAGCAGTATATTGTTAGGTAAAGTCAACTTAAGTCGAAGTGTTAAAAGTATCACATTATATTATATATCAAAGCATATCAATCAGAAAAGCTAATAAACATTATACAACATTTATAGGCATTACAACATTAAAGGCAAACAAAAGTCTATGTTATATAATTACTTATAAGGTATGGTCTGCCGCACAAAGTTTCAACCCCACGATCACCCATTTGGGTCTATCCACTGCACTGAGCTGTAGTCCATTTTTTCTTCTTTTTCTTTCTTATTTTATTTATACTACATGCTGCTGTACTACGTCTTCCTAGACGTTCTAGAAGAATAGTTTTTACATTATAATACGTTAATTCCGCATTTGGTGATGTGCCGATGTTCGTTTGCTCACTGGATAACGCGTGCTCTTCCTTTGGCTTTTCGCATTACTTGTTGGCATCTCAATTGACGAACTATTTATTGTGTCATCGTCTTCATGGGGTAAGAACGCTGCTTTGCTTGACAAAGTCAGCGTAGTGTTTTGAGTGAACGAAATGGAAGGCCTATTTTCCACTTCCCAATATGCTGCTATACCAATTAGATTCGGGTGTTATTTTCCAACATTTCTCAACCTGCCACTCTCAACTACGTCCATCGTCCAAGGTTGACTTGGTAGTATAACTCACCCGCGTCTTCAATTATCTATTCCTAGTTGCCACAGATTTTTATTTAAATAACGATATGACACGTCCTTTTATATGGTGTAAATTGTTTCGTTACAATATCTTCAGTGTCATTATAAGGTACGATTAGAGGGAAACGAGACCGCATATGGCAATCAAATAAATGCATCGAAGGTTATTTAGCAGACATGGGATGAATTGCTCTTCTATAAACTAAAAGAATTTTTGCTGGCACTAAGAGGATAGTTGTGCACGTTAACGGTACACAATGATCGTCTATGTATCTCTCAGTCTGCGTGGTGTATGTTGTCGACACACTCCTGGTCGCAAAAATGAAAATATCGCCTTCAAATTTGGTAAAAACATTGGAAGTCTTTGTACCCAGGTTGGTATTGAAATTGGGTCAAATTATGCAATATCTGCAAAAATGGAAAATATCAGCCATTCCTTCGCATAGTTACAACTGATTAAGTTTTCTTTTTTTTAATTTCTACGGTTCTATGTTTATTTATCATAAGGTAACCAAGATAGAATGTTTAAAACTATTTCATGCGTTCTTCAAATAAAGATATATTATCCGCCTAAAAATGCGCCAAGTCTAAAATAAGTATTGTGGACACTACGATGTGGTAAATTAATTTTTTTTAGCAATACGTTTTAGTGAAAGGTGAAAGATAAATTTATTAATGGATAAGTCAACAAAGAATATAAATTTCTTCTTTGTTTTTTTAGCATAAATGTGTAGTTAACATAAATTTTTGTGGCTTTTCCATGCAGTGCACACAATATAATTTTATGATCTGATGCGCAATATTCAGTTGCCTCCGTAGTCGATTGTTTTAAAATGGTTCCGCTACCTAATAAGTTAATGTCGTTTTTTTTTTAAATTTTGAAGAAATACCATTTTCGTCCCTTCGCGATATTGGTTTCAACTTCTCAAAGGCTACCGCTTGTTTATGAAATAGTGTATGTTTCCACAATGTTTGTAAATAATTAATAATTTTCATCGAAGTTCGCCAATTCCGCATACGACCATCGTTACGCTTGGGCAAGCAAGCTTCATCAAAAATCTGTAGCAAATGCAGTTATAATCAAAGATATTTAGAAGGGCGCACTTTGATCTGATTTTTGTTCAATAAAGAGAAAAAATTGAAAGGGTTACGTACTTCCCACAAGAACGGTTACTAAAATGACACAAAATGCCTCATGGATGAGGGAAATTACCGCCATCATTGTGCCGACCTTTGATTTGTAAACAATTTCATATGTTTTCTTTTGAATCCGCTACTTTGTGCCGACCTTTGCGCCGACCTTTGATATGTAAACAATTTCATATAGTTTCTTTTGAATTCGCTATTTGGTCTTTTAAAAGCTGTCGTTTCTTCTTTAACTTTTCGGGCAACTGAAATAAGCCTGGGTGAAGGAGGAATGTTGAACTTGCAAGTATTTCTATAGCAGTGCAGTTATCTTGATTGTCCGTCTGTCTATGTAATGTCTGTGGTAACCATTCCTGAATCGGTTAAGAGGTAAGTCCACAATATAAATTAAGTTGAGATCAACTCTATTTTCAAAAATAAAAAAAAACTTTATTGCTTGCTCGTTACTTATCAACCGCAACAGATGCAATGATAAGAATGTTCATTCACATGTAAACAAATTCGAAAAATCGTGCATGCTTACTCAATCTTATAGAATATTATGATTTCATTCTTTTCATTCTTTTGCTCAGAGCGCCTTTTAAAGTTGACATACTACTGATTACTATAAAATATAAACTGTTCAAGCCATGTTTATCAGCCAGTCTATCCATCTCTTTGTTAATTGCTGTGGCAAACGTACTCATGATCGCAGAAATTAAGATATCTGCTTCAGAGACACGATATATATTTCGGCTTTTATTTTACAAAATCAGAAAAAAGCTGCTACGCTCATTCCAAAATTAGACGGTTCTCACTTTTTTTGAGTCTTTTTTAGAACAATGTTGATGGGTATAGACGACTCAATCGTGTATATCTTGTTTGTTACTATTGGTCTGCTGGTCCGACATCACAGAACTGCCCTATTTTATTCTTTCTCATTTCCTCCCCTAGAATATCTATGAGTGAGGCGAAATGGCAAAGAAAAATGCGAGAATACTTGTAATTCTATAGCCAATTTTATAATTAACATTAAAATCTTCATCAAACACTTTTAATTTCTTGGCAGAAGCATTGACATCCAAGTGCCATTCGCTCACAGTCCATTATCCATTTAATAGTCTTTTCGATTAAACTGCACTAACTGGTTTTTGTTCAAAAATGCTTTTAAATTAACTCAAGCACTTTTCAGAGGCATCTTAGCAGTTAGAGAAACTTCAAATTAACAGACAAAACATTAAGCCGGAATAACATAGCAAAAATTTTTCCGCGCGGGTAATATTATTGGAAATCAATGAAAACTTGGAAATAATAAAGCAAAATTCTTTCACGTAATGGACTCTTTTCTTACATTCTAGACAGTTCAAAGCATCTCATCTTAACACATTCAATATAATGCAAAAGCAACGCTGCGTCTATCCGACGTTTCTGATGCCACAGTAAAACAGTTAAACAGATAATAAATGAAAGTACTATCATTATATTATTATAATAAATAAGAAAAGTTGAAATCCAAAATAAAGCTACATTTATTTGAAAATGTATATATATTTGGCACATATAAAATAATAAAGGTTGTGGTCGTAAATTTTTTTAGTGTTTTTTCGTTTAAATGTAAAGAAAAAAATATTCATTAAAATATAATTTAATGCGCTTATGCTTTTAGTTGTCATCTTAAAAGTGTGCTTAAATTTAACATTAAATAACACATCTATGTAATTATAAATAACAGAAAATTGTTTTACATAAAACTTTTATGATGTACAGAAAAGTTTTTTATAACAGATTTCAGATAGCTTTTCTATAAACGGTGGTTAAATCAAAATACATATGTAGTGCATAAAGAAACTTTAAAGCTATTTAGTTGCTTGAAAGAAACTCTTTGTAGCCCTTTTATCCCCCTAATTAGAAATTAATTTTAAAACCTATTTATATTTGGATCTTACAATTGTAAACTTAAATTGCAATATTTGCCCCTTTGGGTTGTTTGTATATACTACAGCACTATGACATCAAACGTTCTGTTCGGTTCTGTTCTCTGTTAAATTGCAAAAATATTTGTTATTGATTTGAAAGTTATGAAAACTAAAGAAAACAAGTGAAAGCACAGCAGTGAGCCACGGTCTACCATAAAATATCCTACACTATCGTACAGGTATTTATGAAACGATTTTTAAACAGGCAGAGTGACCGGAAAGTGGTCCGACCATTTTCAAAAGCATTAAATGCAAGAAAAAAAAACGGGCAGATGGACAGACAAGCTTAAATCGGTTCAGAAAGATCGGTACAATAAAAGGTGAATCTTTTCCAAGTTCTTCTGGATGTTGCATAAAATCCGCACAAACCCATATATAGCCTCGTACCGCAACTAATATAGGGTATGGAAACTGAAAGGCAACAAACAGTTTTTATCGGTATTCAGAAATAACAAAAGACGCGATTTGTCTACAAAAAAGAAAACTTTGTAAGCACAGAAATACATATAACAAAGACATATCGGATGTACTTACGTATAGAAGAAGAAGTCATATAAACGTTTTTTTTTAGAAGTTTTCTGGATGCGATATGCTTTTTCGATTCCCTCCACAAATTATTAATTATCTCATACAGCTTCGATTCGGACAAGAAATAATTTGACTCTTACCTTGCTTTTTAATTACAACATGCACATGATAGCTATGAGCAATGGTAAGCAAAATTGTATGTTCTGCAGCTGCAATCATGTCTGGCCTTCGTTATTTATCAGCTGATTTGGTGAATTATTGGATGATCATTATTTTCCCAATTTATCTAAGCCACTATTTATAATTTGAGACAAGGCGACACTAAATGTTGTTAAGTGCCATTTGACATTTTCGACTACAACTTTCGGCAGAGCGATTTTTGTTGTTTACTGGCATTAACTTGGTGAAAATTTTCGTGCGATGATTTTTTCCGGCTTTCATCGTGGGCTGTCAAGACAAGAGTGCTAGAATCAATTTGGTGCTTAACGATGTTTGACGCACCACCCCTTGCCACGGCGAAAATCTTAAATCATAGCCGCCGTTCAATCACCACGAAAATTCCTTAAGGTTGTCCAAAACCAGCTATCGTGCAGGAAAACTTGATGCTATGTAAAAGCTGATAATGCGATGTCGAAACGTGATATGCTCTTAGATTTACAAGTTCCACCAAACTATATGAAATATTAGATGGTCATTAACTTGTGCAAGAGGGGTTTTCTCCTTGGATATCATATAATTTGACAAAATCTCAAAATTATAACCTTAACAGATGACGAATCATCGATGTTTGTGGATGAGCCGGAAAACCAACAGCATTCGACTCTGCGACTGGTTCAAGGTTAAACAATTTCAACAAAGTTTGTTCGGGCATGAAGCATTTTGAAGCAAATAGTCGCTTGTTTTTCCATAGAAAACTGTATCCGTGTCATTACTTTTAGAAAAAAACACAACGATCAATTCTGAGCGTTACGCGGCCATTTATTTGCCGGAAGTCTTTGGCGGAATAGGGAAAGCAAGCGCACTTCTTCTCAATCACACAAATGCGAGTTCTTAAATATCTCTTGCTACAATCGGCCAGTGACGTCCTTTTGTAACCGGATGTCAAGAATAAACTGTGTGCACGGCGATTTTCGTCGCCCGTAAGAAGCCATTGATGCGTTTAAAAATCCCGCTTTAAAGATAACTCAAGTGGTATAAAATAATACTATAATAAATTGTTTGATCGTACGTAAGACAGTAAAGGTCATAGAGGAGAATAGAATAGTAGACAAGTGAGTGATTCTTTTCGTTTAGGCCCAAAAAACAAAAAAATAGTGCTTAATAAAGCAATCAACAGTATTACTTCTAATATGCGAAATTATCAGTATTCCTGGCAGCCGTCCAGATAACACTTGCCAAAGCAGAGCGCTCTTCGACTTGCATTTACCTACTCCTGTAGTTTCTTTGGTTATTAGCTTGTTATTAGTCGCGTCAGCTTCGCTCAACTGGGGGCTACTTCTTTTCTTGGTCGAATATGTGCTTAGCTCACTGCTCTATAACCATTATTTTCCAACCACACAATTACCTGTCGGGTTGCCGTACGCCTTTTTGCCTGCATTGACCTTTTGTCTTTTTCAATCACTACCATTGTCTATGCCAACGCTATTTATTTGCAGTCAGCTTTTTTGAGAGTGAGCCTTATCTACAGTAATCAAAAACTCATTCAGTAAAAGGCATCTTTTACAGCCTTACAGTTATTTAATTAAAAAAAAAAAAAATTTCTAAATTTTATTTCTTTCATAACAGATTCTCAACATAACTTATAACATTATCTTAGGAATTAAGAAAAAAAAAAATAAAAATAAAGTATAGTTTACAACATAAACCAAAGTAAAATTTATATAAAAACCAAAGTATCACAGTAGAGTAAATTTTGTTAATCACTTATTGCAAACAGCGGATATAAACTATTGCGATTAGTTCATTGTTCGATGTCCTTCATCATTATTAAAGCAACCGAACCAATTAAACCGCAAATGCCCATAATGGTCATGGGTAGTAAAGGTTCAATGTGTTCCTGCAAAATGTTTGAAAGCATTTTTATGTCACGTTCTTGACAAAAGAGAAAATAATAATTACCAAAAGCCACATATAAGGCACCAAAATCAAAGCGACGCCAGCTCCCAGATTACCTATACCTACACCGAAATTCCGCACTATTGTAGGATACTGCATAGCCGTAAAAATAGGAATAATTGCATTACTAGCTCCAATTACACATTTCGCTGTTGGCCAAAAAAACAAAGACAATCAATTTAAGAAACGATTTTAATAATATTATAATCCATTTTACCTATCATCGCCAAAGCAATGACATAAATTAGATATTCTTCTCCTTTGGGCACTAGGTTTGTCGCCAAACAGCATACACCCGGTATTAGCATGTAAGCAACCAAGTTACGTTTTATACCAAATTTTAAAACAACAAATATACTCAAGCATATGGATATTGTCTCAATTGTACCAGCAATAGCCTTAATAAGAATATATATGTACATATTTACAAATGTGTCTGCTATAGGTATTTTTAAATATATGCTGACAGTTACTTACTGTATTCACATAGATGTCACCGCCAAAATTGCTAAGATGTAGAGTCAAACCAAAGTATATTATGATTAGACTCAGCCAAGATATTAAAGTTAAGCAAGTTGTACGCCAATAAGTTTTACCGAATACCACTGTCAATGGATTGCCTTTAATAGCGGATTCAGTTGTTTTCAAATTTCTTTCATTTACAGCATCTTCTATACTGGATGGTGCTTTGCTGACGAGAGGCGCTACGGCTTCCAAAGATTTTTGATAATTAGCTGGCAATGTTATGCCATTCATACGTGCTGCCCTCTCCACTACGCTATACAATTGTTGTAATTTACCACGAGCCAATAGCCATCGCGGTGATTCTGGCACGCAGTACCTATTGTTATTGTTATTAGTATTATTGGCATTATTCAAATCAAAAACAGCAATTGTAAATTGTGTTTTAGTGAAGGTAGCAAAATCAATGGCGTGTAGAATAATTTAAAAAAATAATAAAAAAAAAAAAATGCAAAAAAGAAAAAAAGAACAAACGAACGTAAAAACTTACCACATAGACAGAAAGACAAACCAAGGCAACGATATAGTCAATTGTAACGTACGCCAGTCGCGTATGTAATATGCTATGCCTGAGCTAAGCACATAGGTGGCAGCAACCGGTAAAATATTCAAAATTCCAATTATTGTTCGCCATTTGCCGGAGACCAATTCAACCACAAGCACGAAACTTACAACGGCCACGGTCATTGAAGCGAAACCAATTATCACACGTAGTCCCATGTACATGGCCAAGGACGTTGAAAAGGCCAATATTGTGCCTAAAAAAAAAGTATATAAACGAAATCGAAAAATAAAAACATAATTAAAAGAAGAAAAAAAAAAATTAATTACATTTGTATTCAATATTTTTCATTTAATTTGTAATCTGTCGAAATATGTAGCGAAGACTGTATTCCCCGAGCCCCTAACATTGCTTGCAAAAGTACACTTAAAATAGTTATCATCACAAATAGTTGGTCGCTCGTAAAAAGTATCCGTAATCCTCTAACTTTCAATTGGAGCATCATTAGCAAGGTAAGGAATATTATTGCCAATTGCGGAGACAAAATTATAATTTTTTTGGTTATATTGGCGAGCCGACCTATTCGTGGCGCCGGCACCATTAATTGTGGACCGTACAATGAAAAAGCTGGACCTTCAAATAATGTCTTAGAAAAGACACGGAAAGAGAAGTAAAGAGAAGTTTGACGAAAAAATCGATAGCACTACCAGCCAAGTCACTCCTATGCAAGTCCTAATTCCGTTCTACCGCTGTATCCAATTGACATTGAGAAAACCAAAATCAAAACCTTCCTTAAGACGGTTACTTCTCCAGTCGGATTCTCTTGCACAGCTTCATATCAGTCAAATGTTTGACTTTGTTAAAGTCAGTTTTTTAAAAGAAAAAAGTCTTGATTGTTAATGCTCATTCTACTGTTCAGGTCTAGAATTTATTTCTTTGGTCAAAGCAAACTATGGTAAAGAACCGATTAACTAATCGGCAAGCTTTAAATAAACTCTTTCAAAATAACTTATGTTTGAAACGATTCACGAATACTTAATATTTAAAGCAATTAGCGAAGCACTTAAATAGGCGCTTTGGCTTCGATTCCTTATTTGGACATTACTTTGCATAATTAATCATCTAAAATTATCGTTGACGAAATAAGATGTAAAATTTTACGGCAAAAGAAATATCTGATCCGATGAGTGGATGGTGGCGATTCTATTCGCCATTACCAACCTTATAAAAATTCAGCTTGAAGATGCTACTTCGTCTGAGCTCGAGTTCAATACATTGCAATAGTTAATTTGTAAACATGGAAAAATTGGTCGTCGTCACCCAATATCTATTCTTTCAATCGATTCTTTGTTCTCTGTCCAATCGATATCGAAGTGGATCCCATTGTGGCGGAACCTGCTCTTTCCCTTATAAGAATGAAACACTTAGTGTCACACATTAAGCGATGCACTGGAAGCAGAAGGATGATGTCGCCAGAAATATTGAAGAAAATCCGTAAAGCGATATCGGAAGATGGAAATAAACAAAATAATTTCGCGTACCGGTGAACTCGACCAATTTTTCTTAATTCAGGCGAAATTGTGTGAAGAGCCAAAAAAGACCCAAAAACGACTTTCCTTATCATCACGAATGCTAAAGTTTGTATAAGATTTCATTGTAAAATAAAATTCCCGTTGACCTGGACAATTTGTATTTAAAGAGCGACTTGAAATAGGCCGACGTTATATTGTGCTGATGGATTTAGAATTACTTCCTGATTCCACCTGCGCTTGTCTCTCCATCTTGTATTCTTTTGACTAACGTGCGGATAGTAATTTTTGAGACGTGTTTTGTCCTAAGCAAGGGAGCTATTGATATTGGTTTGGATCTGATCGATTTTTCACCCACTTTCCATATAATGCCTTGTCTTGGAAAGCCGGTATATGAATAGCTATACTAAGCGAAGTGGTGTAGGGAATTCAATGGCGGGCCGTTGCCCCTGGTAATGTTTTTTCGTTTTGCTATAAATACTTACATGTTTGAAAAAATGTTTGGTTTTGTTTCAACATTAATAGATAGTTTTAAATAACACTTCAATCCTTCTTTTAATTTGTCCAACATTTTTTTTAGTTTCTTTTTCAAATTACTCTGATAACAATAACACTCTTTTCCCCATATTTTGGAATTTCGCTCATTAACTAGAATAGGGTAGTCCTAATATCTATTAGTTGTATCAAATATGTGCCTTTCATAACAATACTTTATTCCCTTTTTGAATATGTTACTCGAAAGCGATTTTATGATTGAGAAATTTTTCATTTGATTGTCAGAAAACTATATAATTTTTCGACTATAGCGAACTCGCTGCTCACTACAAGAACTACTACCTAAGAGCTACGATCGAGTTAGCTCGACGTCGAACCCCATGAATCGGCCCACGTTCTTTCCAAGGGTAAGTAAAATACACTTTCTTTGAAATGGAAAAAGTTTAGGGGCCGAACAGGTCAGAAAAATCAAATCAAAGACTGTCAATGATTTAACAGATGTGGGTATATTCTGAGCTAAGTTCAGTTGAAAACACGTTTTTTCAAAGTAATTACTTAGGTATTAATAAGGTTTCTTTCATTGAACGGGTTCACTTATGTTTTGGTTTGGGAGACATATAATTAATCAAAGTCTTAATGTCTCAGACTTTTTGATATGTTTCAACTCAAAACACATCACACATATGAAAAGAGTTAAAACTTTACAAGGGAAAAGTTCAACTGTACCTTATGAGCCATCGCCTAATATGATCCTGTATCTATATCCGCTATAAAATATTGAAAGATAAACAATTATTGCCGTATGAAGATTTTTTTTGTAAGAATATCTATAAACCAGGTTATTCAAGAGACAGTTCTATATCTTCCAAACATTTCACATTTACTTAGTGCGTCAAAATAGTATTTCCCACCGATTTGTGTCGAGAAATGAAAAAGATGACAAACTTTTTCCATATCAAAACTTGTTCAAAAGAGAGATAAATAGAATACATCCTGAGCACAAACGCTTTAGCGTGTGACTGTGTTCGTACCTTTATATTATGTAATTAGTTAAACTTTTTGCATTAGCCGCAAAACTGCATAAGGTTGTAATGATTAAGAAGGTATGCATACATTAATTTAATTCAATAATTTCTTACAACAGTGTATTCTATTATAAACAATTATCGCGAACTTATAATACCTTATTATTAATATTAATAATAAAATGTTTAATAATCATTAACAAATTAAAATATTTAAAGTAGATCTACTTCTGCTAATTTATGACTGCTGCTAAACTAATCTATTGGAAAATAAGTTAAAACGAAATAGTTGAGCGAGGCCGCTCATTAAGTACCATACACAACACTATCCTTTAGAAATAAGGTGTTGTGTGGCGAGATGTCACAAAAATCGCCCGAAGTAAACCATTTTCAGCAGCGTTGCAGCATATGGGACGGATATAAAAATCCATTGAAACCATCGGACACACACGCAGACCTAAATTAATTCATGAAATGATTTTAAATTCCCTAACACAATAAAAGCCCAGTATATCTGTGTTGTTCTGGGCGTTTCTACATCCAATTTGAATGCAATTGTGACTAATTTTCTCAAATATTATATCAAGGTCATCCATCTATGAATAAAATATTATTATATTCGGGGCCAACTTGATATAAAAGAGTGACGAAGCCTTATTTTCCATTTTCTATCTCAAGATAGTAGTGTTTTAAAAAACCAACAATAGAAAAACGGACCGACGTACAAATGGAAACTTACCGAAAACTGTTTGAACGAAAGCAAAGCTTAACAAAGTATGTTTACGTCCGTAGCGATCCGAAATGTAACCACTTAAAACGCTTCCAATCGCTGCTCCGGCTAGAAAGCACATTTCCACGACACTTAACAATTCGCGATGCTTGCATACTAAACCGAATTCCTCAACCAGAGTCTTTCCCTCTCCATTCTCTCGAGAAAATTCAAATTCCAAGCATTGCGTATAATTAGCCGACAATCCAACGGACTTAACATAGTCTACGAGATTATCTAAATTCCGTATTGTACTATAATCGGCATCCAATATAGAACAAACATCCTTAGGTTGCGTCAAATTACGCCAGAAGGTAACGTCAATATTATGCAGATGAGGAGGGCGCGCACACCAAAAATCCCTATCAGCCGTCTGTAAATAAAATAAATGATTTCAATTATCTGAAGGTAGCAAGTCAAAACTTCAAGTACTATTTGAAGTAAATCTGAGAGGCATTCCCCTCAAACAAACCATAAAAACATTTATAGTCTGGCAAGGCCGATCATTACGTATACTGCACAAATCGATTAACAAAATTCTTCATTTATTGTCGCGATAAAAAGCCAAAAAGTACGTCTTAACTTCCTGTAAAGGTATACTTTTAATTAGAACTTTGAATTCGCTTCCTGAGAAGAAGTTAACTTCCTTAGAATCGCCAGAGGAAATGAGTTCACCAATGGGTTTTTAAACAATAAAAATGAATCATTAAAAATTAAACAACATTTTTCCGATTCATACTGTCGTCAAACTCTAAGGTAATGAATAAATTTATATCAGCGGTGTCAAGTAAAATAGGCATATTAAATCATTTTTCAGGGATTTGCATATAGGACGAACACCGCTTCCGATAAACTAGAATAATTTTATTTATATATATGTGTAAAAAATAGTTCGCCTTGGATAATCTTCAAGTTTTTCAAAATATAATACGGTACGTAAGTAAAATGGGATAATAGTTGACGTTTTGTAAGTTGTTGTGGTTTACATCTCGACAGTGCGTATTGCATAGTATATTCTTGACCAGCATCAAATTTTGAATATATTTAAGCATGTCCGTCCGGCTGTGCGTCCGTTTTCGTAGTGCCAGTTATAAGCATTCTCCTGGCCGCGAAAATGAACTTACCGACTGCACATTTCGCAGAAATGTTGGAAGTTTTTGGACAAAAGTTGGTGTCAAAAATGGGCCAATGAGAACACCTCTGTTTTTCAAAAGGAATAAAAAATTGTTTTTTTGCTTATTGCTGATCAGCTACAGCAAATAAATCTTCAAAAACCTTAACATATTGTTACGAAAATCCCAAATCCAGTTAAATATCAGCTAAGTAATTTTTCCTGATCATAAATTCCCTAAAGAAGTAAAAACCAAATGCAAATTCGCAGGCGCGTCATGCAGCTGCAGACCGATGAAAACGATTAACGGGAAAAACAGACAGGGATTAAGTATAAAAACTATGAATTTGGGTATAGTAACGCGCTTGTACTAATGTGCATAATTAGAATATTTGTGGAAGGGACAGTTAGTCGGTCAAGACCATAGAAGTTGAGAATACGGTCAAGATAAATTGTGAATAATCCTACATTTAAGGAACATAATCGTAAATAAATGATCCTACTGTTAAGGAATATAATTGTAAATAAAAGAACTTTGAAGTGTATTTATCTTGAACGAAATATCCACGGTCCAGTGATACGAACTGTATCTTAGAAAAGCGAATTTCATAACAGTACGTTCTATGGCTGATGCTGCACAAAAATTGGTAAAATTGACTACGTCTGCGGGGTATTGTAGTGTACTAAAATTGAATTTTTTTTTCAATATCTTTTTAACGCGCAGAAACAAGCTTCAAAAATTCCGTAAAGTATATAAATTTTTGGCCAGTTTCAAATTTGGAACACGCCGAAGCATATCCTTCTGTCCACCTGCCCGTCTGTTAGTCCGTTCTACCAGTTTTGCGGTGTGTTTTGCCGGCGACAAAAATTTCCACAAAATTATTGTACAAGAATATCAAAAATCAGCCATGCTGATGGGTATAAAAAAATCGGTCTCAACTGAAAATAATTTTCTTACATGCTTACTGTTGTTTTTTTCTTTGCATCAAATCATCAAATCTGAAACCACGCTAATAAAAAAGATTAACGGTTTAAGGGCATAAAATTCCTCAATGAATTTTACTTAGCAAAAAAAAAAAATAGAATTTTATGGCGCAATAAATTTTATAATTTACTATTCAGTTAACGCTGAAGATGAGTGTGCATTCGATGTTGGAGGAGTTAGCATGGTAGAGATGCACACTACAGTTAGATCTATCTAAATTCGTCTCTACGTTTTTCTGCCAGGTTTTCGCAATTCTTAAAATCGCCAAAGGTACATAACACATACATAGAGTTTGGCTTAACTTCCTGTCGCAAGAAAGAGCTTGCATTAGATTGAATTCAGCTCATTGTTGGAGTTAACCTTGTAAGAGGAAATAAAATATATTTTAAATCCAATGATTTCTTCTCGCCAAAGTTTAAGTCGTTACTGTGGGTGCAATTGCCAGACAAACATAGCTAGTTGAGGGTTTGTAGCGCTTGCGACTCGAATAAGCCTTGGAAAAAGTCAAATGATCTAACAGCTACTAGACGAAAACTGTACTTAAAAAACAGCAAAATTTCTTATGAGATTTTAATTTCAAATAACTTTTCTTTATTTTACATTGTATCGTATAATGAATTTGCACGCTTTACATTGAAATCGTTTCTACAGTTGAGTTTATTTCTTGCTCCCTGTTCTGTGGAAATACTTGAATTTGTTTACCAACAACGACAGTTGAATGTGGGCGGTGTATGTTTTACCTTACAGAGGAGATAACCGAACGGAGGCACAGCTAAGCTGAAATTGAAGAGTTCCAAGTCAACAGTTTTAGTTCAAAGTAAACACAGCTTTTATACAATATTTTTTAAGCCTTAAGTGCTAAACACGGTAACCTAAGTGTAAGTCTTAAGGCTATGACCTTACAATGAACAGTATACAATAATTTTAGGTTAAAAGTATTAACAAGCGAACATAGATATTGACTAAACTATGTGCTTGAATAGAGACATGATCTTTCGTAAAGAGACTTATCTATAATTATTCAACTAAATCGTATGCTCTAATAAAGCCGTTGGCCAAAAATAATTTTGATAGAATAGAAATAATAGAATTTAATCCGTGCTTTATGTCTCATAGGTATTATTATAACAGTAAGCGGTTTTGCTGAAGTGCGTTGGACTGAGCATATTACGAAGCAAGATACTCATGGGGAACGTCAAAAGACTATTGAAACTTATTCCGCCTCTGAAATATACTACATTAACGAACGGTATGTCTACGGACAAAGTGGTGGAACTCAAATGTTGGTATTACCACCCGGTAAATATATATTTCCATTTCAAACCACTATACCAGCAAATGGAAAACTTTAAGGATCGTATCGAACCTGTTCGATTCAAATAGAAAAAAACCTTAAGGAGTAAAAGAAAAACTTGCTAAAAGCAATACCTCTTAGAGTCTTTCTCTTGTGAATATAGAAATTTTTAGACACTTATGAGCCACAATTCACACGGAAGGGTCGGAAAGCACATATAGATATGCTTGCCATATAAACCACTATACCAGCAGTATGGTCTACCACACCGAGATGCTAAAGCTAATAACTTTTATGTGAAGCCAGTGCAAGTTAGACTTGCCACCTTTTTTTCACTACCTTCTCTCGAGTCTTCGTTGAAGATTAAATAAATCACCAATAATTTATTATCTGAAAGGGGAATATAAAATATAAATGAAATGTTAACTTTTCATTCGAGTTAACTTCTTTTCAATCATTTTCCATTTTTCTCATATTTCCCTCGTTAACGTAAATTTTTAAAACCAATTCGTTATATATTAAAAAAAACTTTCTAAGAACTGAACGCTAAGGACTTGTGACGGAATTGTGTGATATCAAAAACCATGTACCTGAGAAAAATGAGGAAAAACCAGCTTGACTTGTATTTGCCGACGATGCAGAGGAAATATTAATAGCCATAGTAACTTACGCGGAGTAAGGAAGAAAAACAGTTTAACAATTTATGAATATTTAAGTATCTATGTAGTACAGCTATTACTTTTGGGTAAAATTTACTCTGGTCAGTTTATGCGACGATGAGACGATAAGATGTAGTCGGGATGTACTCATAAAATCTGACACTTCCCTAGAAGAAGCAAAGAAAAAGAAATAAGATGCCGTCATATTGCCGGCTGGTTTGATATGTTCTCGCGTGATGTGTCAAAGCGTATCTTTAGTTCAATACCTTAAACAGCATGAAAAAGAAGGACGATTTTTGGCGGCTGTTGATTGTGGGCCTATAGTTTTAGCGGCTGGTGGCATCGCTCTGACCAAATGTATAACTGCTTATCCGCTTTGCAAGATGAAAATTTGCTATAGGCAAATTTGATTTCGGTCTTCATAGGAAAACCAATATAAATCCATTAATATTTCTTGAAAATACAACTCTCTTCGAATCGTTTATAGAAGAATAAAGCAAAATCTTTGCACGATTCCAAAATTCTGATAGAGGCAATTATTTTACTTGACCCGTCTGTGTTTACATGAATAACAAATTTGTTGAATATAATATTAGCGAAAGAAGCAAGCAGGTGTATACCGATCTACCTCGCATGTAATTTCGCTTGTAATATCGTGAATCATGCATCAGAGATTCGCGTGCGAGCGTGAACTTCTTCCTTCCCCTCGGGCCCTTAGGACTTATTGTGTGTTCTTATGGCACATGCGCTGCAAAACGAACATATGTCATGTCCTTATACTACACATTGCATTAGTGCGCCATCTGTTGGTCAAAATCGCTTCTCATATTCATAAATTGGTTTCAATTAAAAATATTAGATTTTTTTCACGTAGTCGAAACGGTTGAAGAGATTGCTTATGCGATACATGAGAAGAGGCCTTTGGCTCTTTAAGTAGTTTAGAAATTTTATTATACGTCCCACAAAATTGACACAGAAAGTCGAAGCTCAAAGGAAGTTCACTTGTTAGGGTTTTTCAAAAATTCAATAATCTTGAAAAGTATACCCTACTGGCGCACCTATGATCAATCATCAAAATTAAAAATTTTTTGTCATTGTTGTATATTTGTTAGCAGCGATAGCAAGAGTAGATTGCATTACTTGCAAATGTTATGTCGAATATATCGGGTCTGTAACCAATTTTTTCATTTTTCTACATATGTATAAAAAGATTCATGCTCGAAGACGCCGTTACAGTTCAGATGTGAATGTAAGGCAAAAACAAAAACCATTTCTACACTAATCGAAAATTCTATATCAAAAGATGCGTTCATTTAGACTGTTT